GTCTGGTTTTTAGAAAAATATTTGGTATTTTATCTTTCAAATAACGGGGCGTTACATTATTAATTATTTTATCTATTTTAAAATTCATAGTGCAACTTATTAATTATTTTATCCATTTTAAAATGCAATTTTATGCCTACAGATATGTTTGTGTGTGAGAGAGATACTATAATTTATATAATTGCCATCGAAATGTTATCCGTGCCGAGTCATGTTGAATACCACATAATCAAGCTTCAATCTAGTCGATTTGTTTAATAAGGAAGTTTGAATTACTAGTTTGACTCATTTAAATATATGAATGATATGAGATCAAACTATCACAAGTTGAACAAACACAATCCGATTCCAATTAACTGCTTTGGCCCCTCCCACTTTTTTTTCTGGATTCGCCTCTTATCGCACGGGTATCAACACTAGTTCATGTTGACAGTAGCAACTAAAAATAAAGCCAGACAACTTATTAGATTTTACTTGTTTACAAATATATCACCAAAGGTTACAATCTCAACTCAAAATCTAATTCAATTTTAAGTCAACTTCACTATTCTCAATATTAATATTATTGATATAGTAATTCTTACACATCACATCAACAAATTCACTATTCACCACTCACGTCATTTCAATATCTATTAATTTCAATCATTTGTTTCCTTCTTTTACATCAAATCAATTTTAATCATTTTGTTTTAAATATTATTTTAATACAAACTTAAAATCTCACTAACAACTAACTACACTAACTTTGTCAAAATTAATTATAGTTAACTAAAAAAATCAATCAAATACCAATAATTTGTAAACAAGCAAGCCCTTAATATCAAACTTTAAAATAATTCATGTCAAGGTCTATTTGTTTGGTGGGTGCGATCATACCAGCACTAATGCTCCGGATCCCATCAGAACTCCGAAGTTAAGTTTGCTTGGGTGAGAGTAGTACTAAGATGGGTGACCCTGTGGGAAGTCCTCGTATTGCACCTCTTAAAAAAAAAGGTCTATTTGTTTGGTATTGAAATTCTAAAACCATAAGACAACTTTCCCTTCAGAATGCATAGTGGCTAGGGTAACATTTTTACAGGAATATTTTAAGTACACATTGCATTTTATGATCCATAATTTTTTTTCAGGAATAGTTGTATATATTTTTTTTCTAGTTAATGATGATTTAAGATCCTTTATTGTAATCCATATATAAATGATTGGAAGAATGAGGAGAATGTAGAGAGAGAAAATGTTAGAATTTGGGAAAAATATATTCTATATTATTCAAAAGACATGTACACATATATATAGGAACATAATGAGCCTAAATCTAATCCTACAATATATATACAAAATATATTATAACCATATATACAAAATATATTCTAACACCCCCCCTCAAACTCAAGGTGGTATAGTAGATATCAACTTGAGTTTGCTAAGAAGTAAACAAAAGCGACCGGGAAGGAGAGACTTCGTAAAGACATCCGCTATCTGATCCGAAGAGGAGACAGAAACAAGCCGTACAGTCCCATGGGTAACATGTTGGCGAATAAAATGACAATCAATCTCAATATGTTTGGTACGCTCATGAAACGTATCA